TACTGAGCATCTTCGTGCCAGCTCTGGAGAGGCGTAATGTGTCAGGTGTGTGCCCTGTCCTTGTAGATGTCACGATCTGGTTGGAGAGAGAGATGTGTAAACAAAAAAACTATGTGGTGGAGGATGGAGCAAGAGCTCTCCTGGAAACACTGGAGGTGACCTCCCAGAGGGCAAGCCTTTTGAAAGATGAGAAGGAATTTGCAAGGCAGAAAAAGAGTAGGTTTCTAGGTAAAAAGGCAGAATGAATATCCCATCTGCCTTCACACCCTCCCTCAAGTGCACTAAACTGCACTGAAAATACTTTTTAATCAACATAAGCAAAAGCACAAAGATGAAGAGAACAAGCAAGGAAAGTAACAGGAGCAACACAATTTTGAAAGCTGGAAAGCAGATGGACAAGTGGCTGACTTAGCAGATGCCAGACCACTCAACCCTAAGCTAGCAGTGGAGAAAACTGAGAAATAACCTTTCACACCATAAAATCCCCACAGGGCATAAGAATTGGCAATTTGGTACCTCTGGAACTGGGAGAAAGAGGAAAAGTTAAAAGGTGCTTCAAAATTAGACGTTTGGAACCCTTCACCCATTCTGTCTTACTGGATGACTGCTGCTTCCTCACCACAGCCAAAGGTGAGGTTTACTATTTGGAAATGTAAAAGTCTGCCCTGAGAGTAAGCCAGCATAATTGAGGACATGACTATTCTATGGAAAATAGAAAAACATAATAACCATATATCATAAAATAAATGTCTTATGTTGAGAGCCCACCCAGCCCTCTAACCTGCATAACTCTCAGGAAACCTTTCACTAGGAAACCTAGCTAGTCCAAGAAGAAGGAACTAAAGAAACTTAGGTGGTAGTTTCCATCAGTGGCTACCTAGGTCACCCTACAGTGAACAGCCCAGTTTTCAGGCCCCTCCTCCTTGCTCAGAACCTTCTATCAGCTTTTAAGTCCCCTACTCTTGCTTATTAGCTGACAGCCAAAGATTTCTAGATATGGAAGGAGAGCCTGTAATAGAAGATTAAGGACAAAATTAAATTAAACAGAAAAAAAAAACAAGACAGAAGAAAAACTACGCAAGGAAAGGGAAACTTTTAGAAAACTATCATTAGTAAGAGTCTCAAAAAGGACAAAAATTAAAACTCTTAGAAATTAAAAATTCAGTAGAAGAGTTGAAAGATAAAACTGGAAATCTCCCAGAAAGTAGAGCAAGAGACAAATAGATGACAGGGGAATAAAGGATAAGAAAATAAAAGTCCGTGCCCAGGGGAATAGCTATCCAAACAAGAGTTCATAAAGAATGAAGACAGTAAACAGGAGGATAAAATCAAATTTCCCAGAACTAAAGGTTCTCCATGTCTGACTGAAAGCATCTAAGCATGTTCCAGGGTGAAGAGACCCATATCACAACACATCATTATGAAATATCAGAACACTCTTACAAGCTTCCAGAGAGAAAAACTGGTCACATGCAAGGAATTAGGATCAAGCTGTCTTCTCACTCTGAAAAGCAACATTGGAAGCAAAAAGATAATAGAACAATGTCTTATATTCTGAAGGAAAATTATTTTCATCTTATAATTTTATACCCAGCCAAATTCCTGAGAATAAGTAAAGTAGAAAAAAAGAGGCCAGGCATAGTGGCTCATGCCTACTATAATCCCAGTACTTTGGGAGGCTAAGGTGGGAGGATTGCTTGAGCCCAGTAGTTTGAGGCCAGCCTGGCAACACTGTGGGAGTTAGTCTGTAACACACACACACACACAAACAATAAGCTGGGTGTGATGAAACACGCCTGTGATCCCAGCTACCCAGGAGCCTGAGGCAAGAGGATCGCTTGAGCCTGGGAGGTCAAGGCCGCAGTGATCTGTGATCATGCCACTGCATTCCAGCCTGGACAACAGGGGAAACCCTGCCTCAAACAAAACAAAACAGAAAACATTTTCAGACACAAGGAATCCAACATCTACTTCCCATATACTCTTTCTAGAAAGCTACCAAAACAAGAATGTAAATAAAGAAAAAGAATGAATACAAAAAGCAGGAAACCTATCACAGAAGAGACGTGAAGGGAATCTAAGGATGGCCATTGTGAACCAGATGCAGAGAGACACTAAGGCATACTGGAGCAGAGGGACTCAAGGGAGAGTGAGGTCTAGACCTTGCCATCACCAGGCCCTCAGCTGCTGCACTGTCTTCAGGTCCTGATGAAAATACTGGGGCAGTATTCAATAAAGCCAAAAAGTAAACCAAGAAAGGAAGACATGCAATCCAAGAAGCTGAATTAAACCCAGCAGAAAAGCAAAGGGAAGACCCAGGATCACAGCTGCATATCAGGCCCTAAAAGGCTAGCAGTTCAGATAAAAGAATGATGGGGAGCTCCAAGAGGGATACCTCCAATCGAAATAACTGCCAGATTACTGACGTCATTCACATTGCAGAATATCGTATGAAGAGGCTATTGGGAGGTATAAGAAAAATTGGGAACTGATACCAAAACAAGAAACAGATGAAAAACTATGGAGAGTGCTAACATTAGGAAAAAGGAAAGAAAAACATATAAGCACAGCAAACTACGATGTTCAGTTATGAAAAATACTGCATAGGCGTAATAAGGCAAACAGTAAATGTTGATTTAAGTAAAAATTATGATACAACTGAAGCAGGATAGGTAGTCAAGGAAGTAACCACGTCCTCAGGGCACAGCAACCATCGGGGCCATACAGTCAACACAATAAGCCCCAGCATGAGCATGGCAAAGTTCATTCAAGCAAAGCCATCTCCAGTATGGAATTTCCCATGCAGACAGCAGGAGCATTTGGATTTTACCTGTCCTCAAACTCAGCCTTAGCTCATTGTAATAGTAAAACACACACCCCTGGGTGGAGAGTTAAGATGCATGGCTCATTAGCAGGGGTGTGATGGCACACGTCTGTGGTCCCAGCTACTCATGATGTATAAAGAAGTATGTGCAGCTACTGCGCATGTGCACCCAGAGGACCACCCAGAACATGCTTATGAGTAAGTAACACCTCTTCATACCTCCTCATGAATAATCATGTAAGACTCACAGAAAGAGAGTCTCCCTAGGTGCCAGTCTTTGCTGTCTCATCCTCATGAGAAACCGCACTGAATTTTCTCTCTCTCAGGGTGTCCTCTCTATTCTGCACCTAACTTTTATGGTATTCTTTTTCCTTTGCAATAAATTGTTCTATCTCCTTTGCTGTGTGTCTCCTGTTCAGATTCTTTTAAAACTAAGAAGACAAGAACCAAGTTTCCACAACAGCCATCAACTTAACTATATGAAGAAGGTAAGCTTAGGGAAACAGAGAAAATGATGGTATAAAAGAGCTAAGTCTTTATCTACCATCATAGAGAACATCTAAACCTGAAGAATTTCACTTATTCCCCAGCATTATGGAAATGTATACATGCCAGAAGAAACAGCTACAAGCTGAAAACAGTTGCTTCTGGAAAAACAACTTGAGAGGAATGAAGTGCTGTATTTTGAAATATGCCTTTTAGTATAACTTGAGGTCTTAAATTATGTGCATATATTAATTTGACAAAGTAAAATTTAGTTTTCTTTAAAAAGAAGGATTAAGGACTTTCTAAATTGAGAAAATAGTATGTGCAAAAGCACGAAGCTGTGAAAGAACCACGTTTTTCTAGGAAACTGTTACTGCCACAGTAACACAGGAGATGCAGGCGGAAGCAGTGTCTGATGCTGGAGAACAAAATCAGTGTCTCCCCTATCAGTGCTGCAGACTTTGGCAATGCATCAGCCTCCTTCAGCTTCCTGCTTGGTAAAATTTGACTAAAAATAGCACTTACTTCACAGGGATTTATAAGAACTCAATGACAGTGGAATCAGGCAACTTGTGAAATTCATCATGCCATACAAAGGTAAGGGATGAAGGCCCTTCTCTATGTCCTTTGTAGCAGAGAGTGTTCTCAGTCTGTAGCTCAGAGGTTTGAGAAAGGGTGAGAACTGCCCAAGTGAGAAGCTGTTTACTGGCTGGGGTAAGGAAGTCCTCCAGAATTAGGGAATGTCGCAGCTGGAAACCAACAATGCCTTTGACTTAGAGAAACAACAGGCTCTCCAGAGGGAACCTGGGCCTGGGACCTGATGGCTGCACTGCTGGGAGGGGTGGGTACCCATTTGTGGGTCCTATGGGCCCTGAGGCAGGTCAGGTTGGAGTCTCTACTGGGTGGTCTGGGGGAGAGGCAATGTCTGGAACCATCCTCCCAGCGCTCCCACCCACTATCCTCCCCTTCCAAGGAGTATCACTCTGCTTCCTCTTCTACCAAATGGTTGCTTGAAATTCCACCACGGAGCTCAGTGACATGCATATACTAGTCGTGAGTTTCTAACACTTACGTGGCACTTACTGTATGTCAGATACTACTACAAATGCTTTGCATGTATTAACTCATTCAATATCAAATAACCCTATGAAGTGCATCCTATCATTATCCCCACTTTACAGATGAGGCAACTGAAAGGTTACGTAACCTGCTCAGTGACATCATTGGAAAGGGGATGAGCCAGGACTCCAAGCCAGGCAGTCTGCCTCCAGGTTCTGCAGTCAGAATCACCACATGCAATTCTCCTCTCGGGCTTGAAACTCCCAAGCCTCAAATTATTCAACTATAACCTGGGGACACTCAGACAGATGGCCTCAAAGATCTCTTTCCATTGGAGTACTTTTTTTCTTGCAATGAATATCCATTACTTATTATGTATGAGGGTCAGGAACCTTCACTGAGGATAGGTTCTGAGGAAGAGTAGGGTATATATGAGGCTCCAGAATGGGAGGAGCCAGGGACACCAGCCCTCACAGGGAGGTTAAACTGGAGAGAAAGCTCAGAATGTAAATGTCACCTCACACAGTTTTATGCACACAGCCCGCCACACCACCATGCCCATCCTCATGGCCCCCATGGACCCTGCTCTGTGTAGAGGCCCTGGCGTGGAGTATACAGACAGCCTTCTTACCTGTGACAATGCAGGTGAACCTGACGTCGCTGTCCTCGGACACAGCCCGGGACTTGAGTGTGGTCTCGAATAGCGGCTGGGTCTCCTCTGTGAGCTGAGCAATGATGGAGCAGAAGGTGCTCCTAGGAAAGGCAAAGAGCTATTCAGAGGTGCCCTTCCCCACAACATACAGCACAGCCTGGTCTTGCCCAAGGCAGCTTCCATCTTACCATGTCTGTCCATCTTCCTGTGGCCAGAGCTCCAGTGCCCAGGCAAGTCTTTCTTACACATGCTGAAGGCAGCCTGTGCCTCTTGGCCAGGTTGGGGCCAGGTATCAAGGGGTTGAATGGAATTCTGGCCCAGACCCATTACAATAGGCAAGCCACTAACCATGGGCCAGGCTCCTGAGCATGCCAGGCTACTAGTCCAAGCATCCCATCACATCACTGTTTGCGGGGGGGAGCTTACTTCACCCTCCACCTTTCATCTCCAGGGACATTGGTGTATGGGGAGACATACACATAAGTATGTCAAGCCTCGGAGATGGAGCCCCCAGCATAGCAGAGCCTCCATTTTGGCTGGCCAAGAGGGGAAGGCCAGCCAACCCTCAGTGATTCCAGGTCCTAAGAGCACAGGAGTCTCTCCTAGTGCTTGGGCTCAGAAGAAAAGCTCCTATATTTGTGAGTGCAGACCCACAATGGACAAAGAATAAGCTGGCCAATGCCAGGGGTCTAGACCCAAAGGGGGACTCTCATTCATAAGGGCATCAGAAAGGAGAGACCCAGCCAAAGTGGGGCTGGGAAGCAGCCTTGGAAAGCCAGTTGTGGCTCCCCTGCTCCATCCCTGGACACACATGCTGAAGGGAAACACAGCTGGCTGCTCCAGCACCAGCCAGCAGGAGTGCCAAACCACAAACAGACCCACCCCTGCCAATGCCAGAACTCCATTCCCTTCTCCAGCCCCAGTCCACCTCCCAGGTTCCAGGAGCATCCATAAGCGCTGAGTCCAGTCCAAACTCACCAACCACGCTCAGGGCTTACAGTCTTCTCCTTCCTGGGCCCAAGAGACAAACCACCATGCCAAACCCTTTCAAGGGCCAGCAGAGACGCAGTGCGTGCTCAGGTGTGAAGCACCGCCACACAGCCAGGTTGTGTGGTGCAGAAGCCGTGCCCAGCCCTCCTCTCCCTCCCCAGGCACACACCCCCTTGTGAGCAGCAGAGAGGACTGTGAGGGGCAAAGTGAAGAGAAGCAGGAGAAACTGTAGTGAGAAAGACACATCATTCAAAGGCACTGTGCCTCAGAGAAAGGGATGGTCACGCAGGGGCAATGTTTGTCTGTCCATGGCCTCTCTGTCAGGGGCCAGGAGGGTCTGTGGAAGCAGAAGCAAACAGGATCTAAAACCCTACACACTTTGTGGGGAGGAGTTCCACATTCGATTTATCTTTTCTGTGAACGTTATTCTAGACTTCAGTTTGAGGAGAAGGGTTATACCCCAGAGAGTATCTGGAATCAAGTCTGGACTATTAGGGGTCCCACCATGGTTTCACCACAGGAATGCAGACACCTGGGCATTCATGGAGTTGACAAGGGCCCTCCCCAATAAAGATCACCCCAAAGGGGATTCCAATCTCTCACATTCCTTAACATTTCAGCTGGATCTGCAGTTAGACATGTTCTTTCTATAACACTCCCTACAACGTTCCCTCGCCTAACCCTCATCTGTGCAATAAGCTTCTTTTCCTTTTCTTCTTAAGCCACTCAGAAATAGAGGGTCCTTCAGGGCCTATGCTATCAGCTCCCTGAACACTCAGGAAACGTTACATCTGAAAACGCTTCTTGCTGCTATGATAGTAACAGCAGTTTTTGATTTGGGAAAACATGAAATCTCAACCAACAGTTTCTAGAAACCACCAGGCTAAACATAATCCTACTTCTAGGGTTCTGTAATTAATTCAAACCATCCCTTATTATGTCCTCCCTGCATAATTTGAATTCTATCTCATCCATGACCTCGAGCCTCCCGGATCCAATATTCAGCTTAGGCCCCTGGTATGAAGCCACTCGGACAAGCCTAAGGAAATCATTTTGGCTACTGGATAAGTGAGAAAACAGGGAAACTATGCTTTAAGAAAATTTGCAGAGACAAATGCTCATGCTCGATATTGAACAACAGGTAGTTATTTAATTTCATTACTCTCTTTGAATGGAAAAGAACATATCTTCTCAAACTTTCCTCATTAGGTCCTAAGCTATATTATAAAAAATGTTTATATTAGAAAACAAGTAACTGCTGAAAGCTGTGGCTAGATGAAAGCCCTCTCTTTAGGGAAGTGGGTTTGGGGTACATTTGGAGGCACAGGGAGTCACAGAATACTCTCATATTCTGCTGAATGTCACACAGCTTCTCGTTGCCACAAGCTTTCTGTCCCCATCCTCCCAACCACTGGAATGCAGGATGGACTCTGAGTGTGCTGCACCCAATCCTCTGTAAAGCCAGGAAGTCCACACATCTGGAAATGGTCTTGTCCAATCCTGACAAGTCCTTCCAACTCCATGACTTCATAAGGATATCACAGACTAATCATGCGCCTCTAAAGAACACTGGAGTGACTGGTTTCATGATGTTCAGTGGAACCTAACCTTGTCCTTAGGTCAGGTTTGGTTTGCCCAGGTCCTCTCCTTTCAACATTTGCCACCCTCCACTTGGAATTAGTTGTGATATCCTCAGTTCCACCCATGAGCCACACAGAACAAAGTCTCCTGAGTGTTCGTCCCCATCAAGGACCACGGACACAGTAGGTGCTAATCACGTCTGTAAACACTGGCCATTCAGAAACCAGTTAGTTATTCAGAAATCTTTCTCTGTGTAAAGAAACTGTACTTAACTCTCCCAAATCTATCAGAGTCTGGGATGAGGCCCAAGTGATGGAAAGTAGCCAGGAAACATTCCCATTTGGATTGTAACAGTCAGTTCAGCCAAGGGTAAAGAGCTTTCCTCAGCTCAGGAGGCAAGAAGACAGTCATTCAACCAGCAAACCCGGACCGCGAGCCTGCTCAGGCCTTGCCCTGGCTCTACAGCAGATTCAGAGAATAAGCTACACAGGAATATACTAACGTGGTATTCTCTGACCTCACAGAGTTCATGGTCTTCAGGGATGGGGAGGAACCAAAGGAAAGGGAAATTCAGAGACAGGAGGTAAAAGGAGAACTTAAATGAATGCAGAGAAACTTTTAAAAGGCAGTTGTCATGGTGAGAAGATAGGCATTAAGGCATCACAACTAGATGTGTGGTTACAAAAAACATGGAAATCTAGAATTGGGACCAGACACAGTGGCTTACACCTGTAATCCCAGCACTTTAGGAAGCTGAGGCAGGGGGATTCCTTGAAGCCAGGAATTCAAGACCAGGGAACACAGTGAGACCCTAGCTGGTCATCACGGTGCATGCCTGTAGTCCCACTACTCAGAAGGGTGAGGCAGGAGGGTCCCTTGAGCCCAGTTCAAGGCTGCAGGGAGCCATTGCACTCCAGCCTGGGCAACATGACAGAGCAAGACCCTGTCTACGAAATAAAAAACCTAGGGTGGGGAAGAGGTGGGTCATATGACAGGACTGGTATGGCTCCCTGTTCTGTTCCTGTGGTGTTTCCTAGGGTCACAGAGATGTCATTGCAGGCATCTCAGGGACCCCTGCCCATATTTCTATCCCTGAGATCCTGTGCCCCTCTCCAGTGGCCCATGCAAGCATCAACGCTGGCCCCTGTGAGGGCCATGTTCACGTGAGTACCCTCTTACGCCCTCCCCACCCGCCCTCCAGCTCTCCCTCACCCCATGCAGCCTAGTTAGTGCACAAGCAGTCACTCAGTGGCCCCTCAGTGCCCAGACCCAAGAAAAAAGCAGTCAGAGAAATGTAGTGCAATGTGCATTTACCTTCCAGAGCTGGGGTGAGACAACCGGTTGCTTGATAAGCTAAGCAAAAACAGCAAATGGAATCATTAGGCCAGAAAAGCAAGGAGAAGGAAGTAGGCGAAATCAACAGTCGCAAACTATTAATTGGCCACCATCTGGGGCCAGAAGCCTTTCTATTAAAAGGGACCAGCTGTCTTAGCTGGCCTGCTCCATTTAGCAAGTGGCCTGACCACCGGACACCAATGTATCTGCAACCAAGAACTCATTAAATGCAGCAGAGACCAGGAAAATGGTTAGGCAGGAAGGAGGCCCCTTGGGGCTGTGCTTGAGGAAGGCGTGTCCCAGGCACTTGAGTCACTGCCCCCAGGAGGGAGGCTTACAGCTGTGTGGCATGTTTCCCCACCCCACAGCACACCAGCTGGGGGGCAGCTCCTGCTTCAATTCTTCGCCTTTGGGAGAAAAGAGCCCCATTCCTGGAAATCCCCTGACAGGCTAGGAGAGAGAGACAGGTGGCCTGGAGAACACCCATCATTAATATGTTAAAGTACGGTTAAAGAGGCCACGCAAGGCAAACCAGCTGGGAGAGTGAAAAAAACAAAGCAGTTAATTCCGCAGGAGCTGGGAGGCATCCGGCTCCACGGTCCACACAAGGCCCATTCTGCCTGAGGCCCAGTTCACCCCTCCTGACTGGGGCAGCTAGGAAAGGCCACTGTGTAGGGCACTGGGATGAGGACCCACACAGGACCGCCCCTTAGCGGAGCTCCAGCCCACTTGCTATGAACCAACTGTTCCCTCTCCCTCCTCCTTTCCTAACACAAAAATCTCCCTGGGGGCTTGGATCCCAGCTCCTTGAGAGATGTCAGGGGTCACCCCATCCACACTCACTCCCTTCAGCTGTCCCTACCATGAGAAGAGCTCTCCTTTCCTTATCAGCAGCCCAGCCTGTCCAACGGCACTCAGGGTCTACACCTCTAACCACAAGAAAGCTCTGAGTATCCCATCTCTTCATAACCACAAAACCAAACTCATCCTTTCCCCTAAAACCTGACTTCACCCCTAATGCCAGGTTCCTGGGTTTGTAGATACCCTCAGCGTTCTCCCAATCTCCGAAGCTCGGAACCTGCCATCTTGGACTACTTCTCCCCCAACCCAATCCAGTCCATCCACAATTCTTGGCTCTTCTTTACCCCTTTCTCCCTAATCTTGTTAAGCTACACATGGCTCTAGACCCTCATGGCTCCACATCTGCTGACCACCTCAACCCCTTCTCCTTAACACCTCATATAACCCACTTCTCCAACAAAATGTTGCAGTCCTCCAGTGTAGAGGACACGAGTCTCCACTCCTTGACTGGGCGGGTAGGACCCTCCCTGATCTACTCACACTCCACGGTCCCTCTACTTCCCAATGCTCAGGTGCCCCCGCAGCCAGGCCTGTCCCTTATTGGCATGAACAAGTCCTTCCTGGCCCCTGAGCCTTCCCTTTTATCCTCCCTGTTTGGAAAGCCCTCCCTCCCTCCTACTGCTCAACTAAATCCCGCCCATCCAGCCTTCAAACCTAGTTCTCATAGCTTCTGTGACTCTTAGCACAGTGCTGCACAGACAATGGGTATGTATTTAACCGCTGTTCTACAGAAGGGAGAGAGAGAAAAAAAGAGAGAGAGGAAGAAAATGAAAAAGAAAAAGGAAAGTGGAGTGGCTGGGGGCAGGGGAGGGAGAGGGCAGAGGAGAGAAAGGCATTTTTCAAGCAGGAAGGGTCCTGCCCCCCAGAGGGAGCTGCTGCTCCAGAAAAGATGGAAAGGCGCATGCTAGAGTGCAGTCGCCTCTGTCCAGAGCTTTCAAAATCCTCTGGAGGCTGCATGGGCAGAGCTTCCCATGGTTCCATGGCACGGGCCCACTCCATCCTTTCCTGATCATAAATTTCCTTTGTCCCTCTCCTTTAGGATTGGGAGATTTCTTCTTCTTTGGGTCTGGACTTCTTCCCTGAGAAGGAGAGCGGGAGAGTTAGCTTTCTAACTTAGAGAGGAAAATGGCAAGTTCCACCTGCGAGAGCCCAGAAGTGAGCTGGGACAGAGCAGCTCCCCCAGCTCTGCTGCTCCCGGACCAACCTCCTGCTCTCTCTAGGCCTCGCACTTACATCGTTGGTCTGGTCAGGAGGAACCCTGGGCCGATGGAGGCGCCTGGTCTCCAGAAGGTGGGAGACCTGCCTGTGCCCTGCTGACTGGGCCACAGCTAGGCTCAGGGCTGTCACGCAGGCAGGGAAGCTCCCCATTTACTGCCTCTGAGGGGGCGCCAAATGAGAAGCATCAAATATTGGGGCAGAAAGGCTTTAAAGAGTTCTTCATGCCACCTCTCATCTCTCAAAATGGGAATTAATACATAAGCAGAATAGGAGGAAAAAAAAAAAAGGTTGGGGGAGAGTTGGAATTCAGGACCTGGGAAAAAAAAAGGTCTCCTCATAAAGGAGTGAAGTTGGGACTGAGCACAGTGGCTCATGCCTGTAATCCCAGCACTTTGAGGGCTGAGGCAAGAGGATCAATCGCTTGAGCCCAGGAGTTCAAAACTGACTTCAGTGATACAACAAGACCCCATCTTTATAAAAAATAATTAAAAACTCAACTTGGCAGGGCGTGGTGGCTCATGCCTGTATTCCCGCACTTTGGGAGGCCAAGGCGGGCAGATCACCTGAGGTCAGGAGTTCAAGACCAGCCTGACCAACAGGGTGAAATCCTGTCTCTACTAAGATACAAAAATTAGCTGGGCGCCGTGGCAGGCGTCTGTAATCCCAGAGTACTCGGGAGGGTACTTGGGAGGCTGAGGCAGAAGAATCGCTTAAATCCAGGAGGCGGAGGTTGCAGCAGTGAGCAGAGATCGCACCACTGTATGCCAGCCTGGACTCCATCTCAAAAAAAGAAAAAACAAAACTAACTTAAAAAATAAATACATAAAAGAGTGAAGCAGGCTAGAGAAAACCAGAACTGACCACGGAAGCTGGGGGCCTCCATCCCTCCTGGCTTTCATCTATTCTGGGACATAAAAGGCCCTAGGACAATCCTGGCCAGATACCTCAGGTTCCCTAAAAGCCCTCCACAGCCTGGCTGACCCACGCTGAACAGCAGAGTTTGTTTCAAAGCTGTGTGTAGTGACATCACAGATTCTGTGACTTCTGAGCCCACCTGGGCCAAGAATTCAGGGGGCAGAGGCTTCTGGAACTTCTGAGCGTCCATAAAAGCTAATGAATCATAAGCTCTTCTACCCAGTTGTAGCCCCTTAACTTCTCTAGCCTACCTACATCTCGCTGTTCTATAGGGATGAGGTCCTAGATGCCGGTGAAGAAGGGCTGGGCCTACAGTTTGGTGGGACTATCAGCATTTGGGCCTCTGACTCCAGTGGGCACTGGAAATATTCTTGCACAGACATGGATTGGAAACCCTTTCAGAGCTGTGGGGTAGAGAGAGGTGCATGAAGAGATAGGTTCTGGGCCCTCCACCAAGGCCTGTGGTGTCCACCAGCTCAGCTGTCCATCAGCTCCCGGGGCAGCCCCTGTTCACAGGGGCCCATGAGAATGATGCCTGAAGAGCTCCATAACAGATCTGTGTGAAGGTAAACCCAGAAGATGTTGGAGCCAAGAGTGGGTGGGGATAGAGCTTGCCTCTCGGTCAGGGCTCTGGCATAGTCAGGGCTCAGCTGGGCTGGAACCAATATAGCTGGCAAAATTCTCGAGGGACTGTGTTTCTCCCTGTCTCTAGAGAGCCCTCCCCACCCACACAAGCAGTGAGGCTGTTCTGAGGGACAGCCGACAGTGTCATGTCTCCCTCCCACACATGTCAGCCTTTGCTAGAGAAGTTGGAACTGCCTCGTCCTCTCCACTCCCCACTGCAGCCCCAGTCACATTCTCCCCACTTTGGCCAAAGGCTTTTCCAGAGACCAGATAAATCCAGCTGTCCTTGTCTCTCAGAACCTCTAGGGGTCTGTGGCTAGCTGGCAGGAGCAGTAAAAAACTCTGCAGGGGCAGAACACAGCCCAAAGTCCAAAGCTCTCTCCCATTCCTCCTGTCCTGCCCCTCCAGGTAGCTGATGAAAGAAACTCCTTTTAAGAACATTCCCATTTAGGTCCAAAGGGACTTAAGCCAGCCACTTCTATCCCATCTCTAGCTCTCAGGCTGGCACAAGCTTTATGGTCATGAGGTGTGCAACTAACATTTGTCTACCATACAACTGCTCAGCCAGGTAGCAGCACTGTGTCCACTCTCCAGCCCTCTTCCTAAGAGCCCAGATTCCCTGCCCTCCCCATTCTGACAGGTTTTCAAGGCATTCTTTCCTCCCTTCCTCCATTGCTGCTGTCTCCAAGAAGGACCCTGCTTCTGCCTCTTCTGTTTGCTCCACTGGTATGGACAAAGGCCAAACACAGGAAGCGAAGCCCAGAGAAGTCACTGTGACAAGTGTGAGGCTCCTACAGGGAGTCAGTCTCTCTGGAGACTGGAATAAATGTCCAAATTTCATCCCGGTTTATCTGTAGAGCCAGGAGTAGGAAAAAGGGGTATTCTTTCCTGGCAGCCTGGGGCCTTGTTGAGTCTGACTCAGTCACTAACATCAGTCCCCAGCTCTGCCACAGACATGTGACACCATTTGACGAGTTTTATGCAGAAACCGGTTCCAGTTACATTTGAACTTTCCCAACTCCAAGGTCAACAGGACTCAGCCAATTCACGAGGAAGTGCCCAGGACTTTTCCTGAATGTCCTTGATGCCTGTTTTTATGCTGCTTTAGGAAGGGAGAACAAGAGGTCTCTGGTCAGCCTCTTGGAGGAATGGCTATGCATAATCCACACGCCAAGTTCTCAGGCTATGAAACAACCACTATCTCAACACATGTCCCCTTGGAAAATAGACTCCAGAAGTGGAGGGAAACTGAGCTGCCCACAGGGAGCAGGAAGTGCCTGTCTCCACGGCAATGCCCATGTCCATGTGTGTCTGTGTGCCTTTGATTGCCTGTATGTGTGTCTATTGTCTTTGTGTCTTTCTGTCTGTGGGTGGCCTAGCTCCTAAAACAAAGCTTCCACACCTCTTCAACTCTTGGAAGACCAGTGAAGGGCTCATCAGTTCCACACCTCCCTGCATTTCACTTCCCCACACTGGACAGTGAACTTGGCTCCCTCAGAGCTCCAAGTCCTTAATTCCCAACGTCCCCAGACAGTACCTCTCCCCACCCCATATCTCACCAGCCCCACTCAGGTCCTGGGGAAGACCCAAGTCCTGGGCCCAGAGGAGGAACCTTATTTACAGAGGTTTGTTTCTTCCTGGGGACCCTCCCCACCCTGAGCTAAGCAGCCCCTACTCTGGGCAGCCCCCCCAGCACCCCTTCCCTGTCCCCACCAGTGCTTGCTCTCCCCCTCCCACCAGTGCTCTCCCCCTCCCCTTATACCAGGGAGGAATTTCAGCCACTCCGGCTTTCCTTATCACTAGCCGTGGAATCCCAAGCCAGGGAGCAGCAGGGTAGGGGCGGGGGGAGATAAGGAAAGCCTTCAGGCCCCAGTGAGATCTCCCCAAGTGGAGCCTTTGTCCTCTCTGGAGCCTCGCATTGCCAGAGGCCTGAGGCCTGTGGTTCATGAGGGGTCTCAAGGGGCTATGAAGGCCGTTCCAGCACAGCTACTTCCCCAGGCCCTGGGCCTTGGGGCTGAGAGAGCTCGAGGGCGCAGGCCCAGCCCAGGCCTCCAGGGAACAGGCCGCCCTTCCGGGGGCGCGGGACCACCCTGCCCCTCAGTGCCACTCACCTGGTCTCGGGCCGCACACTGAGCAGGTAGCTGCGGCTGGCTGGGCTGGGGATCCACACCGGGCCGTCGTCCTCGCCGTCGCCCGCCGACCCCGACCTCCCGCCCGCGCCCCAGCCTCGGTTGGGGGCCCTCCGCGACCCCATGACGCCGCCCTCCCCGACCACCGGCCCGCACCCGCCGCCGCCTCGCCCTCCCTCCAGGCCCGGCCTCCCGGCCCCTGCCCGCCGCCGCCGCTCCCGCCCGCGGTTGACGCGCGCCCCTATTTATAGCCGGTGGCCAGGCCGTCGTCACCTGCTGCTGTCCCTCCCCCGGCCCGGCCCGGGCAGCGCGGCTCCGAGACGCCGGGGGGCGCCGGGCCTCAAGTGCCCGCCCCAGGGCCGGCCCCGCGTCCGCTCCCTCGGCGGGCCTGGTGTCTGTGGCGGCGCCCCGTCGGGCGAGGCCCGTGAGGTCTCGGGAGGAAGTCGCGGCGGGGGTCCTGGACACGGAGACCAGGACAGGCCCCTTCGAGGAGCTCCCAGGACCCGACTCCCCGCCAGCCTTCCTCCCCTGCCCCTGTACCTTGTTGCAAATGAAGGGTCCACGAGGCCTGGCCGGGGCCAGGGGAGCCAGGTCAACTGCTGGTCAGCTTGGGCTAGATGGCGGGAGACCAAGGAGCCGAAGAACCGGCCCTCTTCCTGGCACCAGCCCTAACTGACCCTCGCCTCGCCTCGCCAGTGGCTGTTGGTCAGGCACGTAGACAAGCCCGGCCACTTCCATTAGTGACCTGAGCCCCTGGGAGGCTGGAACCCCTGGGGATCTCTTTCCTGTCTGCCCCCTCACCCCCAGTAGCTAGCATAGATTAGGGGGTCAATGAACACTTCTGGAATAACTGAACCTCCTTCTTCACTCCTTCGGCCTCCATTTCTCAGCAGCAGAGGGGGAAATTGGCTGAGTCCTGATGCCCAGAAAAATAATCATGCAACAATTTCCAAGAACTAGTGCCAAGCACTGTCGAAACCTGGTCTAAATATTGGAAATGCCCACAGACTTTTATCCGTCCTTCCTTCTCCTATTTTCCTGAAAGCATCCAGAAAGTACCTGAAGCTCGCTGGCTGTAATTGTTGAAAGTGGGAGCAAAGGAGTCCAACCCCTCTGTTTTCCAGGCTGCACCCATCCCCGCTCCTTTTGGAAATGACTTTCCCCTACTCTGTATGGTTCCAGTGGCCACTACCTTGTCCCCACATGATCCCACTACTGGCTTCAGTTGACTGGCATCAAACTCAAGCCAGGCTATATTCATGGTACCCCATCTCCCTGACTATAGACTCTGGTTGTGCCAATAACGTTCTCTAAAACATTTTTAACTGGAATTGGAAAAGAAAACCAGACCCTCTGTGGTGGAAAACTGAGCTGTGAGGCCCCAGCTGTCAGCAGCCCCCATGTTTCCTGCTGTGTGGAGTAAGCCAGTTTACAGTGAGGAATAAGGAAGCCTGCAGAGAGAAGCAGAGGCGAAGGGCACAGGGTCCTGGTGGCTTTCAAGTGCCCTCATTCAGGTGTTCCTGGGGTCCGGCTTTGTCCCTGGCCTTCCTGCAGGTTGGCAGATCAAATTTTCCTTGGAATCTGTGTACCAAAGAAGTTCTCCCTTTGCTCAAGCCACTTCCAATTTAGGCTTCTGTTGGGAGAAGCATCCTGACCGATATTAAAGTGTTCTCTCCTAGTGATCCCAAATTCATCTCCTTGTCACATGTCCCCATTCATTCTTGCTCTTGGTTCTGGAGGTGCACAGAATCTTCAGTCATCTACAGGGTAGCCTTCAAATATTTGAAAACCCACTTGAAGTTTTGGTTCATTTCTTTAAATCATGTATGCTTGTTCAAGCAGCAGAGAAAAAAGGGGTGGGTGAGAAAGCATGTGAACACCTGCGTTTCAGGTTAGGGCACAGGTGCTAGAGGCAGGGTTGCAGGATCTCTGCCTATAAGAAGTTTATAGTCTAATAGGTGGGACAGGCAACATACCATGCAGGGGAAAACATACAATTCTAAAACTATGTATAGGGGAGCACCAATGTTTAGAGAAAAGAGTGGTTAGTTCTGCCTGGATTAGGACAGTTTTACAAGTGTGGGAAGTAGAAAAGTTCCGTTTTAAAGTTTCTTTCTTGCTAAAGAATAAGTGTGCTAATAACTTTGTTACGCCCTATCCTATGTAGCTGTTAGACATGCCGTGCTTACAGGCACGTAGTACATTCTATGTCCTTGTACTTTAAACAAGATATCTGTGTTGGACGTGCTCACAGGCATGTCCCAGCTCTCCATGCTTTTGCCTATTTAGAAAAGTTGTAAATTATCAGCCAGTCGGGGTTTAGTTTAGATTGTAAGGTCTGGCTCCAGCCAACGGAGATCAGACACAGCAGTAAGGACTACCCCAAATGTGTAAGGGATAAATTTGTCTGTTTTCCTTTGTTTGTTGTCCTCTTGGGCAAGCTGGCTAGCAAGAGTACCTTTCCTGCAGTCCAGGAAGTAAAAACTGCATTGCTGAAAGGTCCTTTGTCTCAGTGCTAATTTTTTTTTTTTTTTTTTGCGGCACTGAGCATCTATTTCCAACCACAAGGGAGAAAGTAAAGCTTGAGAAGGATTTTGTATATTACATAGATGCTCACCAAGCAGACTGTAATGGGTGAGAAGCGGGAGGCACCGAGTATTCCAGATAGAGGGAACAGTATGTATAAAGATATGGAGGTATGAAACAGGCCGGTATGCATGTCACTTGAGTATGAAGTAGAGAGGAAAGTAGAGAGAGGATGACGAGGCAGGAGCTAGAGGCTTGGGACCTTGCCTAGCACTCTGGGGACTCTGGACTTCCTTTCCAGACCATTTCTCATATGACAATGGATATGGTGCCACTAGTTACCCACTCCACTTTACCAATTTCCTTTTGAAAATGTGACCCCTGCAGAGGTTAGACCATAGCAACCTACAACTAAATTAGCACCTAAATTAGTGTGGGTCTGGGTTCCAGACACTGTTAACAACTTTCCTGCCTGTCAGCCAAATTATTTCACTGACTCGTTTTTATGGAGCCTGTGAATTTTCAACAAGCAACCCCTGTTCATCAAATTCTTCCCCACTCCTAAAGTCTTATTATCCTACATACACAATCTTACCTTTTTGGTTTAAGTTAAATCTTATCTTCCTATTCCTACACTTCCTTTCCATATTGTCTAGATCTTTTAAAATTCTGCCCATCATCTAGTGCTAACCTATAAGGTAATCTATCCTTCTCAGCGTTTTTTTAAGAAAAAAATGTGGCTTTTTTTCTCACTATGTTGCCCAGGCTGGTCTTGAACTCCTGAGCTCAGGCAAGCCTGCTGCCTCAGCCTCCAAAAATGTTGGGATTACAGGCATGAGCCACCATGTCCAGCCAAGATTTGGAGCCCAGCTTCCTGCTATCTGCAAATTTAACAAGCAGATTTTCTCTGTCTTCAACCAAGTTTGTGATAGGGGCCGAGCTGAGTAAGGAATGTCAAGGCACTCAGGGATGGAGAGGTCAATAATGTGTTTCTCTCCAAGCTCACAGTCTAACAAGAGAAAGAGGACGTGGAAAGTTATGTGCCTCTCAATCAAATACCCACCACTTGAACCTCCTTGTCTAACAAAGACTAGGCTAGGAGTCCAGAGGCTAATCCTTCTCTTCCACGAAGCAGCTGCGTGACCTTGGCCAAATGTTTTGCCATCCCTGAGCTTTAGCTTTCTCTTTTGTAAAATGGAGTGGGGCATTCCATTTATGATCCTGAAGGTCATAGCTGTTCATTCAGCAAGTATTTATTAACTATTACATGTGAGGCATTATGCCAGGTGCTGAGGGTACAGAGATGAATAAATTATAGTCTCTGCCCTCAAGAACGTCTCAAGCCTTGAAGAGAGAACAATTAAAATAAAACAGAATCATTACAAATCCTGTGACAGAGGTTTGTACCTGGTGCTGAAAGAGCACAGAGGAGCATGTGCCTTGGTTCTGCATTAGGAAGTAACACTGGCCAGGCACAGTGGCTCACACATGTAATCCCAGCACTTTGGGAGGCCAAGGCAGGAGGATTGCTTGAGTCTGGGAGTTTGAGACCAGCCTGGGCAAGAAAGTGAGATCCCATCTCCACAAAAAATTTAAAACTTAGCTGGCTACACATCTGCAGTCCTGGCTACTCAGGAGGCTGAGGTGGGAGGACCATGTGAGCCCAGGAGTTGGAGGCTGCAGTGAGCTGTGATTGCACCACTGAACCCCAATCTGGTGACAGAGCGAGACCCCATCTCAAACAAACAAAGCAAACAACACAGCACAAGGCAGTCAGTGTTTGCCATGTACTGAAGAAGCACTGTAGGAATTTGTTTTTGGTGCCAGGATCCTTTCTCTCAGTTATTTTGAACTTCCTGGGGCCCCAGAATAAACTGGGTCTTTGTAGTAGGAAAATCTTGGGCCTGTTTTTGTGTTAGTGAACACACTCATGGCAAAAAAGGAAGCTGCTCCCAGTTAGAGAATGGCAGAATCTCCCAAGACACTCAGACCCAACTAGGCCAGCCCCTCAACAAGGTCTGAATGAGTTTGAACATGCCTTTTATTTTAACTTAGTTCTGTCCCTTCCCCTTCCTACCCAGCCCCCTCTCTTCCAGGGCTAAAAAATTTCAAAGGGGACAATCCATCCTCCTTTGAAGCACTGGCCATGGCATGCATTACCCAATCCTTAACCCCAATATTATTAGCCATCAGGACACCATTCCACATTCCCCTTGACCATCCACCTGAACTGATGAAAACCAGTGGTCACCTCACACGGAGTGCAACCATGGCGGGCTCTGGTCCCCTACCATCATCCTAGCCTCTCTGATGACAGCCAACACCCTGGCAGAGGTCCAATGACCTTGTCTTCACAAAGGACTTCACCCTCACTTCCCTTTCACATCTCAATCAAACACCCACCACCCAAACCTTGTCACTGGGAATTTCTCTACCTCTAAAATGTCAGCTTCCCTGTAGCCTCTATGCTCTTGAATTCCTTCCTGGCTCCACCCCCACCTCATCCCTATACACACATGAACACAGTGCAAACTGGACAATAACTTCAACTACACCTTCTTTAGGGAACTCATTGCACTTTCCCTTGACCCTCTGCTAAGTTTACCTGACAAGTTCCTAACCTGGAATTGGGTTGTGGGCTTTCTGCTCCAGGGTTGGCCAACATTTCTGGTTTCCAGGCTAAGTCCGGGCTCGGGAAGCTTGGCAATCCTTTTACATTCTCCCAAGCTGACCTTTTCCTTTCCCTACAGCAACTGTTCCAAAAAAGATTACAATCTCCCTTTGCCTTCCTCACTTGCAGTGGTCAACTGTTCCTTCAAAATACAGAGAAAGTGAGACCACTGGGCAAGAACCTCTCCTTTAAGGAGGACAGGTTGTCTGTATCGTCCCTGTGTCACCCTAACCTCTGCCTCCTATGGTTTTCTTCCTTTCCAAGCCTCTCAAACTGCCAGCCTTCTCAGCCGCCCTACCCTAACAGCTCTCTGCCTCCCCTGCCAGGCCTCCTTCCCTCTCCCCACTGCCTGAGGATGGTCAAATGTTTGCTTGTCTCTAAAATATTTACCCTTTTTTTTGTTGAAACAGGGTCACCCAGGGTCACTCACTCATCACCCAGACTGGTGTGCAGTAGTGTAATCATGGCTCAGCCTTGACCTCCTGGGCTCAAGTAAGCCTCCCCGTCAGCCTCCCAAAGTGCTAGGACTATAGGCACACACTACCACACCCAGCTAATTTTTTCTTAAATTTTTTGAAGAAACATTGTCTCCCAATATTGCTCAATCTGGTCTCCAACTCCTGGGTTCAAGCGATCCCCCTGCCTCAGACTCCCAAAATGCTGGGATTACAGGTATAAGCTACCAAGCCCTGTCAACCCCATCTTTCATTTCACTACCA